TTTTTTTAGTGGCTTTTCTAGATCATAAGTCGTAGTTTAGATCTCGCCCTGCTTAGGATATAAGAATAATTTCCAATTTTTTTTTCAGCTGCCGCATTGTTTCATTCGTAAGAACTCTTTTTTTCACCTTCAGCTTACTTTAGCTTGCCTTCCTAATTTTTTTTTCGTTCGGGGAACCAGCTGCCATCGCCTTTTTTTTTCAACGTCAGGCTGGCAACTTGCCAACATTAAATATTGCACAGTCAGCTATTTTTTATAGCTGCATCCCTTAATTTTTTTAGTGGCTTTTCTAGACATAAGTCGTAGTTAGATCTCGCCTGCTTAGATATAAGAATAATTCCAATTTTTTTCAGCTGCGCATTGTTTCATCGTAAAACTCTTTTGTTTCCACCTTCAGCTACTTTAGCTGCCATCCTAATTTTTTTCGTTCGGGGAACAGCTGCCATCGCCTTTTTTTTTTCAACGTTCAGCTGCAACTTGCCAACATAAATTTTTGCAACAGTCAGCTATTTTTATAGCTGCATCCCTTAATTTTTTTAGTGGCTTTTCTAGACATAAGTCGTAGTTAGATCTCGCCTGCTTAGATATAAGAATAATTCCAATTTTTTTTCAGCTGCGCATTGTTTCATCGTAAAACTCTTTTGTTTCCACCTTCAGCTACTTTAGCTGCCATCCTAATTTTTTTCGTTCGGGGAACAGCTGCCATCGCCTTTTTTTTTTCAACGTTCAGCTGCAACTTGCCAACATAAATTTTTGCAACAGTCAGCTATTTTTATAGCTGCATCCCTTAATTTTTTTAGTGGCTTTTCTAGACATAAGTCGTAGTTAGATTTTGCCTGTTTGATTTCAACTTGCTTGCTTGATATCAATGAAGGTGGATTTTGAAAGGTGTTATCCGAGAGTTAATTTATACTGCATAATTCGAGAGGCTGAGGGTGGCTGTGAGGGGAGGTAAAGGAGGCCACTTAGGATAGCACCTTCATGCAATCCACCGTACTTAGACATAAGTCGTAGTTAGATCTCGCCTGCTTAGATATAAGAATAATTCCAATTTTTTTTTCAGCTGCGCATTGTTTCATCGTAAAACTCTTTTGTTTCCACCTTCAGCTACTTTAGCTGCCATCCTAATTTTTTTCGTTCGGGGAACAGCTGCCATCGCCTTTTTTTTTCAACGTTCAGCTGCAACTTGCCAACATAAATTTTTGCAACAGTCAGCTATTTTTATAGCTGCATCCCTTAATTTTTTTAGTGGCTTTTCTAGACATAAGTCGTAGTTAGATCTCGCCTGCTTAGATATAAGAATAATTCCAATTTTTTCAGCTGCGCATTGTTTCATCGTAAAACTCTTTTGTTTCCACCTTCAGCTACTTTAGCTGCCATCCTAATTTTTTTCGTTCGGGGAACAGCTGCCATCGCCTTTTTTTTTTTTCAACGTTCAGTTGCAACTTGCCAACATAAATTTTTGCAACAATCAGCTATTTTTATAGCTGCATCCCTTAATTTTTTAGTGGCTTTTTCTAGACATAAGTCGTAGTTAGATTTCGCCTGCTTAGATATAAGAATAATTCCAATTTTTTTTCAGCTGCGCATTGTTTCATCGTAAATCTCTTTTGTTTCCACCTTCAGCTACTTTAGCTGCCTTCCTAATTTTTTTCGTTCGGGAAACAGCTGCCATCGCCTTTTTTTTTCAACGTTCAGCTGCAACTTGCCAACATAAATATTTGCAACAGTCAGCTATTTTTATAGCTGCATCCCTTAATTTTTTTAGTGGCTTTTCTAGACATAAGTCGTAGTTAGATTTCGCCTGCTTAGATATAAGAATAATTCCAATTTTTTTTCAGCTGCGCATTGTTTCATCGTAAATCTCTTTTGTTTCCACCTTCAGCTACTTTAGCTGCCTTCCTAATTTTTTTCGTTCGGGGAACAGCTGCCATCGCCTTTTTTTTTTCAACGTTCAGCTGCAACTTGCCAACATAAATTTTTGCAACAGTCAGCTATTTTTATAGCTGCATCCCTTAATTTTTTTAGTGGCTTTTCTAGACATAAGTCGTAGTTAGATCTCGCTTGTTTGATTTCAACTTGCTTGCTTGATATCAATGAAGGTGGATTTTGAAAGGTGTTATCCGAGAGTTAATTTATACTGCATAATTCGAGAGGCTGAGGGTGGCTGTGAGGGGAGGTAAAGGAGGCCACTTAGGATAGCACCTTCATGCAATCCACCGTACTTAGACATAAGTCGTAGTTAGATCTCGCCTGCTTAGATATAAGAATAATTCCAATTTTTTTTCAGCTGCGCATTGTTTCATCGTAAAACTCTTTTGTTTCCACCTTCAGCTACTTTAGCTGCCATCCTAATTTTTTTCGTTCGGGGAACAGCTGCCATCGCCTTTTTTTTTCACGTTCAGCTGCAACTTGCCAACATAAAATTTTTGCAAACAGTGCTAAGCTGATCCTTAATTTTTTAGTGGCTTTTTAGACATAAGTCGTAGTTAGATTTCGCCTGCTTAGTATAAATAATTCCAATTTTTTCAGCTGCGCATTGTTTCATCGTAAAACTCTTTTGTTTCCACCTTCAGCTACTTTAGCTGCCTTCCTAATTTTTTTCGTTCGGGAACAGCTGCCATGCCTTTTTTTTTCAACGTTCAGCTGCAACTTGCCAACATAAATATTTGCAACAGTCAGCTATTTTTATAGCTGCATCCCTTAATTTTTTTAGTGGCTTTTCTAGACATAAGTCGTAGTTTAGATTCGCCTGCTTAGATATAAGAATAATTCAATTTTTTTTTCAGCTGCGCATTGTTTCATCGTAAACTCTTTTGTTTCCACCTTCAGCTACTTTAGCTGCCTTCCTAATTTTTTTCGTTCGGGGAACAGCTGCCATCGCCTTTTTTTTTCAACGTTCAGCTGCAAACTTGCCAACATAAATATTTGCAACAGTCAGCTATTTTTATAGCTGCATCCCTTAATTTTTTTAGTGGCTTTTCTAGACATTAAGTCGTAGTTAGATCGCTTTTGATTTCAACTTGCTTGCTTGGATATCAATGAGGTGGATTTCGAAAGGTGTTATCCGGAGTTATTATTCTGTATAATTGAGAGGCTGGAGGGTGGCTAGTGAGGGGAGGTAAAGGAGGCCACTTAGGATAGCACCTTCATGCATCAACCGTACTTAGACATAAGTCGTAGTTAGATCTCGCCTGCTTAGATATAAGAATAATTCCAATTTTTTTTCAGCTGCGCATTGTTTCATCGTAAAACTCTTTTGTTTCCACCTTCAGCTACTTTAGCTGCCATCCTAATTTTTTTCGTTGGGGGAACAGCTGCCATCGCCTTTTTTTTTCAACGTTCAGCTGCAACTTGCCAACATAAATTTTTGCAACAGTCAGCTATTTTTATAGCTGCATCCCTTAATTTTTTTAGTGGCTTTTCTAGACATAAGTCGTAGTTAGATCTCGCCTGCTTAGATATAAGAATAATTCAAAGTTTTTTTCAGCTGCGCAACTTTTTTATCTGGTAGGTAATTATTGAGTCATACGTAGTACTTGGGCTTTCCTATTAAATTCTTACTCATTGATAACTAAAACTATTGAATAAAAACACTATAAGAAGCCTAACCCCGTGGAAATAAAGCGCGACAGAGATTGAACTGAGAATATAATGGAAACACTGTCAATAGTGTCGATTCTTGAACTGAGAAGAATGAGAATTTGCTTTCCTCCTATTTACCGCAAAGAGAGTTCGTTGATCACAACCAATGCGGGTGCAAGGGGATTTGTCGCGCTTTCTTCCATAAGCGTTAGGCTTCTTATAGTGTTTTTATTCAATGCTAAAACTAAAGAGTACTCCTTTACTAAAAACTTGTTTCTTCGTTCTCAAATAAAATTTTTCCTTTTAATTTCCTATCCAAACAACATTGCGCTAGATCCGACGAGGAGAAAATCTAAGATGTTAGGTAACCATCTTGTTCAGATACACGCCGCCTTCCAAGGTAAACTGCTAATAATAATGTATACGTACTACCACGGCATGCAGAGAAAATTCATTTCGCAACTCGTTCCGACTGTCACGATTAGTATTTAGATTCCTTTTTAGTTTGAGCCATTGTAATTGTACCTATCAGCACTGTCTGAATAGTATTAGATTTCGGTGCTTACAAGAAATTTGCACCTTATGGATTCCTTTTGAATCAAAGGGCCAAAATATTCTTCATGCAAATGATCCTCAATTAAATCCTTCAAAAGTCTTCACGAACAAATTTATCTACATTTACTTTCACTTAACGATTTTATTTATATCGAATTTGACAAGGCATTTATAATTAAAATCTTCTTGAAAAATACAGGAATTTTCTTTTTGTATGGCACGCTCTATTGTCTCTACAAATCACAAGTAATGAATAATCGGGTGCATCTCGTTAAATGCATTTCATGTAACTTTGAATTGAATTGAAATCGTACCAAAACTCGCAACCCAGGTTAAGGGTAAAATAACGTAAGAGCCAGATTTCTGATTATATTAGTCTCGGGATTAAAACAGACACTTTAGTCGCTTGGCATATATTGCATGCTATTACCAATTTGCGGCATACTTTGTTTGCCTTTATTAATGCCCATCATTATGCTATTATTGTGCGGTATTTACACTCGTTATATATAAGATTAGAAATTGTGGAGGTAACATAGTACAATTGGCGCAATTTTTGGCTTGGAAACGTACGCAAGGGGTATTGACTGCACACAATAGTTATCGAAAATTTCTCAAGTCTTCTTGAATAAAATTATTACATTTTTTGATTGTTTATTTAACAAGTTTACATTTTTGGTATCATTGTGGCTCTCTTCAACAACATCCTACACAACTTTATCTCGAAAAGTCATTTAAATTACTACTACTACGTGCAAAAGTGATTAGTTTAAGCAGAAGAAGATTATAAGTTGCACATCTGGTAATTTGCAGTTGGTCGCACTATATTACAGACAAATTAGCGTTCCATTTTCATGGGTCTATTTTCGGTGGTTTTGAAGTAACATCAAATAGGAATATGACGCCTTCAAAATCTAAAAATAGAAGAATATCCAAGATTGTCAGTCTAATGTGGTTGCAACTTACAGTAACAAGGGTAACAATACTTAATGGTGCAAATTTTCCCACTGTAAAACGAATCGATCTTTGCGCCCTAGCCATTATTAAAATTAAGGATTTTTGAAATGGCAAATTAGTGCCTACAAAGTCAATATTGTAGCATGAAAAGGCGAGTGCTTCATTTTCGTTTAGGACTCTTTGTGTAAGAAAACAATCCCCAAAGAATAAGGCACTCGCCCCAATGAAGTATATGGACATTTTAAAAAATTCAACGGTAAACAGTGGCGCCTGCAAAAGAACATATCTACTAAAGTATATTTAATTCTATACTTACATTTGCTATGCGAAACAGAATGATGCAGATTAGAAAAGATAAGCTAAGAAAATTTACTAAAACACACTTGTTGAATACTTCCTCAGTTTCATTTGCAATTCTTGTAATGTGGTTGTGATGCATGATAATTCGCTTTAACTGTTTTTGTTGATACGGCCACGGAACGTTATTTTTGCTGACTAAATTTGAAGCGATTTTACTTATTGAACAGAACTCTTTCTTAGCATCGTCAAGTACCTCCTCGGTGCTCATTCTTAAGTATTTTAAATGCGTTTTCAATTGCAACATTATGCATATTTTGATTGCAGCCGGTCTTAAATATTCTATAACCAGGAACAATGTATTGGTAACTTGGAAAAGCAAACACGCGGTATAATTGTAATTCATCCACCTGGGCATGGAACCGTAAGGAAGGCCATTTCGATTATCTCTTAGTAACCAAACCAAAATTCCGGACGCATAAGGAGCAATTCCTAGTGCAACAGTAAGTCGACCCTTAAATTTTCTGATTACCAATATGGCATAATGGCCAGCGAAACTTACCACTACCGTCAACGGCCGCTCCAATTCAGACCGAAGCTCACTTTTCCTCTTTATTTGGTACTCCGATGAGGTCTCTAGTAAAATCAACAAATTTGTCAGTTTTGATCTGTTCATCCTCATTAATGTGAGATTAATTGCGGCTAGAAAATGATTAATCAGATACCAAGTATGGTCACAGAGTAATTAATACAATTAGTAATTCCAAACAGGTAGAAACAGTCCTCAATGTCGGTCTGAAGATTAAACTTCCGACCTACGAACATCGCACAATACAAATAAACCGCAAGTAAGTAGATACCAACAGTAACTTTTTCACTTCTGCTCATATTCTGTTTTAGTACCAGCCCCGTTCTTTTAGAAAACTTTCTAAGCTTTTTGAAAGCGACAGATAACGCGTCACTTGACATCTTCCGTGCACTAAAGTATAATGCATCTGTTTAGAACTAAGAATAAAATTGATCGGAACTGTTCTAAATTCATAAGTTATTCATACACAAGTAAGCAAAGTTGACGTGGTGTGAACCTTCCAATATGCTACTGCATTTCATCGAAGAATTCTGACTAAATAATAAATACAAAAGTGCTTGCTTACATCGTCTAACTCAATACTTTATCTAAACTTAACATAAAATTAAGGTCTAAATGAATTTACAAACTTAAACTTATCGCCTTCCTTGACAAGACAAGGTTTTCAACAAGTTACAAAATAATAGATATTAAAGATTTTATATGATTACAACAAATTGCAAATATAAAAGCTAAACGTACTAAAGTATTGGTTTGTAACTGAAGATAGATAAATCTTCGCAGATTACTTCCTTGGAAAATTTCGATTATGCCATTTTGCAACGGACCCTACGCTGCAAATAATTAATTACTTGTTTTGCCACAAATTTTATTGCTAGTGCATGAGGATGACATGGAGATGTCGAAACATTTAGCATAAATTCCATTTTTATAATTATTAGTAAAGAATGTGGGGAAGGTTTCATTTCCTTACGACTGCAAATCATTTGCTGACAATTGCGTTTGTTTTTCTATTAAATGGGAAATTGCAACCAAAAAACTGTATCATAAAAAAATTCAAAAATGCCTTTGACTAGCTCTTACGAGCTCCTATTAAACTTTCCCCCTTGTGTACGAAAGAGTCCTTTCCTGTCCTTTATTTGAAAGTTTGCTACAAATGGTCTTTTTGACTTCGTACTGTCCATCTCTTTTCTTACCTCATGGCTTCATAGTAGGAATTTGAATTACGGTTAATTTATAAGAGCACACTGTAATCGCATCTTAATTTTTTTATTTTACGGTGACAAATTATTTAATAAAATAACCCTTTAACTTGGTTTCCGTCACATAAAATAACCCTTGAACTTGGTTTCCGTCACAGTTAAATTGATGGTTTTTTTGATTTCGAAAAATAAAATTTAATTTGAATGGACACCAAATTCAATTATTAAAAGAACATTTTTTCGACTTCTTTTAAAATTTGACTGGTAGTGGTACAACAGTTCAATATTTACCCTTTACAACGGATCTTAAGTTATCGAGTAAAGTTGACAAAAATGCTTTAATACGACTAACCTTTTTATTTACAATTTTTTTCGACGAGGAAAATCTGGCATTCTTACGGCTAACATTTTTACTCGTCAATCTGGAGTAGATTTCAGATGATTTCGGGAGCGTGCACCCTTAAACCCCGCCAGCTTGCAACAGCCTCTCGGAGGCTAGGATTTGGAGATTGATTGGGTCCGCTCTCATTGTTTATTCTTTTACTAGTCGGTATAATTTGTTCCTGAAAGTACGTTTTGCATATACACATTCTAATTAACTGGGTTATTATGGTTAAATTTGAGGAAATTTCTAAGGTAAAGTTTTACACTAAACTGCCTTTTTCGTTAGCTGCACTAATGAACTTTGTTATTATGTGATTTCACGAACAGTTTTTGTTATTGTAATTTCCGTGAGTCACTTGAATTAATTTCAGCTCCTCTTTTACTTGATATCACTACGATACGGTAAAGTTTTCCAAGGAATTCGCTTACGAACGCGTTTGTTTATAATAGCAGGCTGTGTTCTTCACTGAATTGAATTTACACCATTGCGTTTCTTCCGCAAAAAAAACTTGCTAACTGGCCTTAAATTTCCTTAAACTGTTTTTCTAAACTCGGTTAATCCGAACGCTAATCTAATGGGACCTTAACTACCCCAACGCTAATCCTCGAAGTTGGTTTCAGCTCCACGGGTGCTATTCGAATCTCTTCAACCTCTATCTAGTGTCAAAACGCCTAAGTACGTACAGTAATAATCTCCTATCTGAACTCTTAAGTAATTTTTTAACGCCTACTTAATGGTGGCGTAATTAATTATCATTGGTTTGCCGGCAGACTTTTTGCCGGGCTTTCAGGACTGCCTATGAGTTTCGGAATTTGCGAAATCAGCTTATTTTTTCCCAGCTGCGTTTAGCTTGCCAAGTTGCAGAAATATCCTAATAGGACCCATTTCCAGCGTGCAATTCAACACTAAAGCCAGGAAATGGGGCGACGGATACAATTTAGAACAAATAATTCATTGACGAACGTGTGAGTAAATGTCCTTTTAATCTCCCTATTTGTGGTAAATTAGAACGTATTGTCGCAGCGATTAATTAATAATTAGTAAAAGAGCGTATACGCATAAACCTAATGGAATTAATACGTTTATTATCACAAGAACAATAATAATCATGAGGTGAAAGGAAGGGAAAAAGGCCAACGTGTTTCATTCCTCCGGCACCCCTGACTACAGGGATACCGGAGGCGGGCTGCTCAGGGCTTCCTGGTCCTCTTCAGCCAGAGAACGGGATTGTAAGGATGGGTAAAGTTAGGGATGGGAACGGAAGGAAGGGAGTTAGGGTGCTGAGGGGGAGAGTACTGCTCCAGCATTCGCCTCGTAGATTTCAACATAATGCTAGCATTATGCGAAGCTACGTATGTCTGAGGAAAACCCCCTGACAAAACCCCAAACAGAGCAGTTGGCAGCGGGATTCGAACCCACAACCTCCCGAATAGCATCGGTGAGCGCATCCACTGCGCCAGGTGCCTCGGTCATGAGGTGAAGCGCCTATCCGACAAACTGAAACTAAACTAATTAAGAAAACAACAAGATTTACTTTCTTTCTTGAATATACCTATATCTCCTGCATTTTTTGAGATATTTCACACAAATTTGAAATTTAAGTTACGCTGAAATGCTTTCATCATTTGTCATGTCAGTGATAGTGAGAATCTACACTCTACAGGGTGCTGTTTTTTCAAGGGCCATGTTTCATTTTCTCTATTATGAACTTTTTTTCGGGGCGCCACTTAACAAATAAAATTTGATTGATTTGATATTTATTTTTTATTTTATATAATCCATTTAGTGATCTTTTATATCATAGTGCAACGGGAGAAGACACTAAAGCACTTTATTATTATTAGAAAAAAAGTTCAGGGGTAAAAATGGAACATGACCAGCCTGTAGATTCTCACTACCATTGACTGTATTTTTAGGTGTTTATATCTATATACAGGCTACATTAATTGTGGGATTGTGGGTTTATTAACGCAGATATTTAAAATTCATTGTCGGCGCTTACTGAAGGACTCTTAAGGCTACAACCTAAAAATATTTTCAACGAAATTGCAATCGTGATACAGGGTGATTTATATCAATGTTGCATTTGTTTAAATAGAACCTTCTGTTATGTTTATTGCATATTTCGATTCCCTGGTTAATTTTATTGTGACTTATGTATTACACATATCTAAAATGAGTCGATTATTTTTCAAAAAGTAGATGTCCGGTTATCATAAAACCTAGAAGGCCGTGACTATGCAGTGTTACTATCTTTATGTTTAAAACAGTCGTGTAACACCACTAATAACTCAAGAACGGTCGGAGTAATGTTCATAGTCTTCTACCTATTTGTTGGATTCGTCTTCGACCCGAATATAATATAATATAATAATATGTGGAAGTTATGTTTACCGTACTTGGCACTACCTATTACTCACATAATAAATTATTGCCTTAACGAAGGCACCTTTCCAAGCGTGTGGAAAATTGCTAAAATTATCCCACTAGCTAAGGTAAGTAGTCCGAAAGAATTGAAAGACCTAAGGCCTATAAGTATTTTGCCCTGTCTCTCGAAAGTTTTAGAGAAAATCATGGTTGTTCAAATTAGACACTATGTAGATCACGAATGTGTACTTCCACAAATGCAATCGGGATTTAGAGCGGGTTACAGTTGCAATACGGCGCTTGCACATGTGACGGATACCATCATGTCGGCCATAGATAAAAATAAACTTGCCGTTCTAGTGCTTATGGACTACTCAAAGGCCTTTGATACAATTTCTCACAATGTACTCCTGGCGATTCTTGAGCATATAGGTTTTGGTACGATTGCTACAAATTTAATTAGGAATTATATATCGTCACGCTTCCAATACGTTACCCTTGAACGTGAAATTTCTCACGCGCTACCAGTGACAGTTGGTGTACCTCAAGGTTCTGTCTTAGGGCCCCTTCTATATATAATTTACACATTTGATATTATAAACTCCATCAAATATTGTACATATCATTTATATGCAGATGACACCCAATTATTACATGAATTCTTACCACATGAAACTCAAAATGCTGTATCTAATATTAATGAAGATGTGCAGGACTTGGTGGAAATATCAGAAAGACATGGGCTGAAAATTAATGCACAAAAATGTTACGTGATGTTATTTGGTAGAGCAAAAATTCGCAAACTTATAATTCCTGAAATAAAAATAAAGATTAAAGATACGCCCCTACCGCTTGTCGATAACGCTAAAAACCTGGGATTAATATTGGACACTGATTTAAGATTTAAGAAGCATGTCTCGGAACTTCTTCGCAAAGCCTACTTAAATTTAAAAACTCTGTATAACAATAGACTAATATTAAATCGCAGTTTGAAAATCATGCTTTGTGAGTCATTAGTACTATCACAATTTAGTTATTGTGATAATATATACGGCCCATGTTTGGATGCGGTAGACAGTGGAAGAATCCAGCGTATGCAGAATTCTTGCCTACAACTTATATTTGGAATAAGAAAATTTCACCGAATATCACACAAACTAAATGACATTAAATGGTTAAATATGTCTAATTTGAGAAATTATCATACAGCTTGTTTTATCCATAGAATCATTTGTAACAAAACTCCTGGGTATCTCCATGATAGAATCAAATTTAGAACTAATATTCATAATTTAAATACAAGAAGTAGAATGTTCATCTCAATCCCAATTCATAAAACAACTTTATTTAAAAGATCTTTTAGCTATTACGTCCCGAAGATATATAACTCACTCTCATCTCATATAAAATCCTCTACAATGAAAAATTTTAAAAAATATATTTGGATGTCACTGCTAGAAAAACAACATAGGTCTCTCTAAGCCCTTTTCTTTTTTTAGTTTTAATCTCATACACATAAGTGATATCGATCATTGGCTGACTAGGAACTTCGTTTAAATAAGCAAGGGTTAAGTGGAAGAACAGATAGTAGAGTTTTTAACTACCAATCTGAACTTCGCCCTTTTGAACTTAACGGTGAGCATTTCCTCTATGTCTTTTTTCTTTTTTTTTACTGCACCTGCTTTTTTGTTCACTGTTTTTTTCAATAAACGGATATTATTATTATTATATAATAGCAGGATAACTTATTATAATATAAAAAAACACGACAAAAATATATATCTAATTAAAAAGTGGTAGGTATAGATACTCGTGATTTCGATGGAAATCACGCAGTATGTAGCAATGACCAATAAACGCTTGCCGCTACTACGTATTTTTAGTGCACACATTGTAATTTTTTGCAACAAATCTTCAACATAAGTATTTTGAAACCACACCTCTTAAGACACAAATCTTCAAAGGATTTAAAATGTGCACCGTGTGATTATACAACGAAGCGGAAAAACGGGATTTCCCAAAGGCGGTACGTAGTTCGCCGGGACGGTTAGTTATAAAATATATTTTAGCTTGTAGCCTTAGGAGTCCTTGACATTGAATTTTAAATATGTGCGTTAATAAACCCACAATATTCCACCCACGCACTAATGACCCATCCTGTATATGTACTGTTAATTTGGGATTGAAGTTAGATTTCATTCATAACAAAGTGAGCACTTCTGTTTTACAAATCCAGTAAAACACATTTGTAAAAATAGTTATTTACATAAAAGTCAGGAAAATGACACATTACTGGCCCGAGGCCCTTTGGGGCCTAGTACTTTAATTTCCTAGTCAAGTAATGTCATTTTACTGACGAGTTTTGTATCAAATTTTACCCGAAATCGTAGTTTATTATAACATTTCAATTTACATATAAAATTTTTGATCAATGTCAATCTGTCAGTGATGACAGGAGTCATTATAAACATTAGAAATGTCACAAATGCGGCCGGTAAAGTGACAAGCGGCAGGAAAAGTATTCTGCTCTACCTCTGTCCTGGAAACTTAAATTTCCTGACAGAAAGTAGGCGTGAAAGTGAAGGTTTCAGGACCATTTTGGGTAAAAGTCATTAACAGTGTGTCCTATTTTGATTGAGACTACTGCAGTGTGTCTCAGCTGTTTTTTAATGATAGAGACTTGCGGTTTTCGCGACCATGTTCCACTTTTTTGTGAAACTTTTAATACCACAAACAGAATCAATCTAGCTACGTTTGTTTCTGAAGTACATTGTGAAACCTGAAAGTTTGACATTTTGGAATGTTATCTTACCTTACTACCTAAATGTAAAAACGGTTTGTTTTAGATATTTTTACGTATAATCCAGTGGCGTAGTTAAAAAGAATTGTTGGACCGCCGTTTCTGAGCTTTAACTCAATCTGGGTATCTTTAAATACAACACCGTATCTATCTTAACGTCAATTTTTTGCATTCGTTTTCCTGATTACATTGATTTATCACACAACCTATATATTTATATGTTTTATATACATAATCATCATATTTTTCAAAATTTTAAAATGGCAGGTTTCTACCGTCAGCCATTTTTGTTGATTAGTGATGGCTAAAACTAAAAAAAATATAGGTCGTGATACATCAATAATGCGAAAAAATTTACGTTAAGATATACAGGGTGTTGCATTTCAAAAATATGGGTCAAATCTCTGAAACGGTGGGCAAACACATTTCAGAGAGACGGAGTAAGCACATCAGCGAAAAAGGAAAGTTGTTTACATATTATGTACTTACAGTGTGTCCCCGGATGGACTGAACAAGAGGGAAACAATTTTTGCTTGCCTCAAAACCCCCTATTCTGAATTAAAAATCTAGATATTCCTTTTAGCAGCTGAGAAAATCACAAAAAACGCAAAATGTACAGCGGAAATTTTTCAAAGTTGCATGTTTTTGATTAAATCAGACTATCATTGTATTTTCCATGGCAACCTGATAAGCAAATCAAGTTAAAAGACACCTTAGAGCTTAAGAGAAACTCTCTACATACAAATTCTTTATAAACATTGTGGATCGTATCTTCATTGACAGAATTTATCGCTCCCGTGATTTTTTGCCATGGAAGATACAATGATAGTCTGATTTAATTAAAAACATGCAACTTAGAAAAATTTCCGCTTTATATTTTGCGTTTTTTGTAATTTTCTCAGCTGTTAAAAGGAATGTCTAGATTTTTATATTACAGAATAGGTGGTTTTGAGGCAAGCTAAAATTTTATAAAGAATGACATTTTTGCGTAAAGTTAAAATTAAAAATTTTTTCCCTCTTGTTCAGTCCATCCGAGGACACACTGTATATTTGGGCTAGCAGACTGTAAAAAACAATTTTATTTTCTTAAAGAAGTTGCGATTTTATATCCATTATTGTGTGCAACAAAGACTGTCAGAAGGGTCAATCATTTAAAGTACCCGTTTATGCGGCGGGTTTTTAGAAAAAGCTGTGCCAACTCACGTCGTTTTGTTATGATTTATCTTGCGCCATGTATTGTTTTATGGTTGATATTGGGGTATTTAAGAAGACTAGTTTTAATAATAATTACATTTTAATCTATATTGAAAATTGCTACATTTTGATGTTGACAGGTTCGACCCTATACCTACCCTTCGACTGTCTACTTACTAATTCGCAATAATCCACCTTCCTGTATGTAACTATGCAATATTGCACGGTAGAAACAGGAAGTGTGGCATAGAAAATATGCATATTGTTTTGTATATTTTTCGGTTACCACCACAGTTTGCGCTTTGGAAGAGTTAAGAAATTTTAACAATAAATTACTTTCCATATTTTGTAGAAATCGGGACAATCTCGCTTACAGACCGTTGTCCGTGGGCCGGATGGATCTGAAGTAAATCTTAAGAAGGCTTTGCTGCTGTGAAACACGTACCGTTTATTAACATATTCTCTGATTTATTGGCACCTGTTTGAATTGCATGAATTAGCTACCGAGAGACTGCGTAGATAAATTAAAACTATGCTATTTTGGTGCAATGTGCGCAATTTACACTTGAGAAATTTTGTAGGTAACAAAGAACAACTGGCAACTGGCGCAATTTTTGACTTGTAAACTTACTCAAGGGGTATGGGATGCATAAAACAGTTTACTAGAAAATTTCACAGTCATCTTAAATAAAATTATTACATTTTTTGATTGTTTAGTTAACAAGTTTACATTTTTGGTATCATCGGTGTCATGGGCCATGGCTCTCCCTCAATAACACCCTACACGACTTTATTTTGAAAAGTCAATAAATTACAAGACCCCCGTGCAAAAGTGATTAGTGTAAGCTGAAAATATTAATGAGTGGCATATCTTTAATTTGCAGTTGGCCGTAGGTGCTATATTACAAACAAATTAACGTTTCGATTCCATTTTCATGTGACTATTTTTCGCGGTGGTGTTGAAGTAACATGAAATAAGAATATGACGCCTTCAAAATCTGAAAATAAAAGAAGATCTAGGTTTGTCAATTTCATGTGGTTAATACTTACGGTAACGAGGGTAACAATATTCAATGGTGCAAATTTTCCCACTGTAAAACGAATCGATCTTTGCGCCCTAGCCATTATTAAAATTAAAGATTTTTGAAATGGCAAACTAGTGCCTACAAAGTCAACATCGTAGCACGAAAAGGCGAGTGCTTCATTTTCGGTTAGGACTCGTTGTGTGAGATAGCAATCCCCGAAGAATAAGGCACTTGCTCCAATCAAGTATATGCAAAGTTTAAAAAATTCGACGGTAAACAGTGGCACCTGCAAAAGAACATACCCACAAGAGTTTATTTAATTCCATACTTACATTTACTATGCGGAACAGAAAGATGCAAATTAGAAAAGATAAGCTAAGAACATTCACTAAAACACACTTGTTGAATACTTCCTCAGTTTCGCTTGCAATTCTTATAATGTAGTTGTGATGCACAATAATTTTATTTAACTGTTTTTGTTGATAAAGCCACGGGACGTTACTTTTACTGAGTAAATTTGAGGCGATTTTACTTATTGAACTGAACTCTTTTTTGGCATCGTCAAGCACCTCTTCGATGTTCATTCTTAGGTATTTGAAATGCGTTTTCAATTGCAACATTATGATCATTTTTATTGTGACCGGAAGAAAATACTCTATGGCGTAGAAAAAATATATAGTCACTTGGAAAAGCAAACACGCAGTATAATTGTAATTAATCCAGATGGGCATTGAACCGAAAGGCAGCTCATTTTGATTATCTGTGAATAGCCAAGTCAAAATTCCAGAAAGGTACACAGAAATTCCTAGAGCTACAGTAATTCGACCCTTAAATTATAAAATTACCAATATACCAAAATAAGCAGCGAAATTTACCATTACAGTCAACGGCCGCTCCAGTTCAGACCGAAGCTCACTGTCCCTTTTGATTTTGTACTCCGTGGACGTCTCCAGTAAAATCAACAAATTTGCCAGTTTTGATCTGTTTATCCTCATTAATGTGAGATTTGCTGTGACTAGAACACTGTTAATCAGATATATCAACCTACGGTCTGAGTAATATCTACTATTAATAATTCCAAAAAGGTGGCAAAAGTCGTCAATTTCAGTCTGAAGATTGAACTTTCGACTTACGAACAACGCACAATATAAGTAAATCGCAAATAAGTAGATACCAACAGTAACTTTTTCACTTCTGCTCATATTTTGTTTTAGTACCAGCCCAGTTATTTTAGTATAATTTCTAAGCCTTTCGAAAGACGTGGATAACGCGTCACTTGACATCTTCGCTGCAGTAAGGTACAATGCATTCTGTTTAAAACGAGGAATTGATCGGAATTCATTTAAATTCATCAGTTATTAATACACCAGTAAGTAACAGGCGAGACGACTGCATTATTCTAACTAAATATTAAATACAAAAATGCTTAATTAGAGCGGTCTTGTGAAGTAACTATAAATTATAGTTCCACCAAGTCCACCCTTGGCCGTTCATAATAAAATTTACATTTCAAACATTAATATAGTCGATGACTTTGAAAATATTGCCACTCTTTGTAGAGATACCTATATGCGGTAAACCCAATGCGTCTGAAATTCTGTCAAAATATTCTGATAATCTATCTGCCTTCGATGATGTTCCGAAGGATGTCCACAAACTCATCTCGGACTGAGGTACCAAAATAAGAATTTCTAGGTTAAAGTTAAAAAAAACTTGAAGTTTATTCATAATAGCAGCTCTGATCTCAGGATTTTTGGATTCCATCACACACAGGAATTGTGGGGAATGAAATAGCAGCAACTTTAAGACCTTCTGCAGAGGCACTTCTAAAACGCATTATGTGGGTCACTCTGTAATTTTGCGCAAGCCTGTGGAGGGCCCAGAACAAGAGAGGGAAAATAAATAAATAAATGTCATTCCTTATTCTGACCTGAGTTCAAAGAGACAGCCATCAGAAACACTAATCGAGAAATCAAAAGAGAAAGTGAAACAAAAGGGAATAATTAATTAACCGCTTCCTCCCCGAATGCAGCTACATGGAAATCCAGATACCTATGTTTAAATCCTCGCGCGGAACGATATAACCAAATCCCTTCCGAAGAATCCTCCCGGAAAAAGAACCGCTACAAATACGTCTCACATGTAACAGGGGACTAATTGAAGTTTTCCCCGAATTCAAATTAGGTCGCGTAAATAGTTACAGAAGGGCGTTTGATTGAAAGGGATATTAATGGGTTAATGGGGTAGTTGCAATAAAACACAGACGTAAAGTAAAGACGATCTTTATTCGACTACAGCTTTCGTGTGATTGGATTTTATTAATGTGGCCAAGGGTATACATAATATGTATTCCTTAGAAAACAAAGAGGGTTTATTTTATATATGGAAATCAAGCATGACGCCCTTCTAACATTCTTAGACATTTTTAGTGCCTTAACAATTTCCCCCTTTTATCAATCATAATATATCAATTAAGTGTGACGCGACATATTTTTTGTATACCTATTCAACAAGGGATGCACCCGTTATAATTAAAAGTTTCTCATTCGCTATATATGCGACGCGTCGCGCCACTCGAATCCTTAATCGAATATTCAATTTCCTTTTTATGTAGATTTTTAATTTTGTGAGCACAATTTACCTTACTGCGGATGGAAATTCTTAGTGGAAAATTACAGTAATTTTTCTGACATGAAGCTTTCCCCTTGGAATTTACGATTTTATTATTTCTTAAGGGCTGGTTGCCGTTTTTGTGGGTCATGTGTCCTGGTTTACTGCAGTCTCATAAATTAATTACAGCAATTTTAAGCTAAATCTCGGATTTTTTAAATTCTATTTCACACTTCGCGAGCTTGCATCTCCTAAATATTAAGTATTTGTATTAGGATACCTTTTGGAACGGATAGTAAGACTGTTACAGAAGAGTAAAATTTACCTAAATGAACTATCTGTTGGCCTCGTTTTCAGTGTTTCACTTTGAAACAAATCATATTACCTCAATCTGAATCCAAAAATACCTCAAATTGGCTTTTGGATGGGCATTTGATTATTATAAACTATAAAGTATTAGAAGAGCTTTGTGGACATTTATGAGGGATCTGTGCGGTACGTTTGTAACTTTTCTAACCACCTTACCCTTACTCATGCACTGTAAGAGATAATTTAGGGACATTTTAAGGTATTCCATTTTATGATGTATTCCAAGTCGTATATAATAAAATTAAGCTCCTGGTGGAATCTCGATGAACTAAAAAGCGACGGTGGCGCCATTAAGTCCCTGGTGAAATCTCGATGAACTAAAAAGCGACGGTGGCGCCATTTAAGCTCCTGGTGGAATCTTGATGAACTAAAAAGCGACGGTGGCGCCATTTAAGCTCCTGGTGGAATCTTGATGAACTACATCTGAGATGAGCGTCTCCTCAATTGATTACATATTGACTAACAATACCAGTTCCATTAAAATAGCAAAAAATTATGAGCTTGGTCTGTCTGACCACTTTGCGCAATATGTAAAAATAAATATCGAACACATTAAACTAGTAAAAACAAAAAAGAATATAAATTATCCAGGTCACTTCACGACAGTTCAAAATTAAACGAGTTCTTGTATCTACTTAAAGATTCTAGTTTAGGAAAACACAGTAGGAAGAATAATCTCGAGAATAATCCTAATCGAAAATTTAATACATTTTATGACAGCTTTACTTGGTGTATGGATAGGTCATTCCCAAAAATTCATAAGCGAATTATACCTACCTACACTTGGCTTTCGGAAACAAAAAATCGTATTTTCTTCGGAACTCCAAACCAAATATAATATCTACAAGAGCCTCGCAGTAATCAGCAAAGTGTCAAAAAACGATAACATCAGTAGGACCTTAAAAGATATGTACAGATCATTGTCTAAATAAATAATTGCCGAAAAGAAAAAACATTTCTCGCAACAAATTGCTACTCACAACAAAAACCCTAAGTACTTCTGGAGTTTAATAAAAACCAAACCATCGACTACCACGACAACTCAAACCACCAACATAGAGGCAAATGATTTTGCCACATATTTTGGTGCAATGATACCATCTCCGAACCAAGACACTTTGACCGATAATAAATTCGTCTGCACCTCATCGTGCACCTCTAACTCCTTTTTTTACAATCCCTGCACACCGAACGAAATTTATAATATCATTCATTCTCTAAAAAATAACAGTTCTCCTGGATTCGACGAAATTCCCAACAGCTTATTAAAGGCATGTTCTCCTTACATCATTTCAGACCTATCTGACATAATTAATGCTTGTGTGATTAATGGCGTGTTTCCAGATGCTCTGAAATCCGCATGTGTCATCCCAATCCACAAAAAGGGAAATCGGAGTGATGTGGGTAACTACAGGGCTATTTCTCTCTTAAGTTCCTTTTCAAAAATCATTGAAAAATGCATCTATAAGAGATTAAATCTTTATTTGGAAAAATACAACATTCTATCCGAAAAACAATTTGGTTTTTCGCCCCTCATTGTCAACCGAGGATGCTACAGTTCATCTAATACAACACATAATGAACGAAATGGACCTAAATAAAGCCTGCTTTGTTGTTTATTTTGATATTAGTAAAGCTTTTGATAGCATCAACATTGACTTAATGTCTCGAAAGCTTGGTGCTGTAGGGATCAGAAACGAAATACATGACTTCCTTATATCGTTTTTAACAAGTAGGAAATACTATGTTAAATACAATAATACAACTTCAAAGGAGTATTACTTTGCAAAATGGAACTCCCCAAGGGAGCACCCTTGGTCCAGTTCTCTTTCTACTTTACATTAACGATCTACCACCAGCCATTATCAATGGGTTTACATTCATGTACGCTGACGACACAGCAGTAGTTGTAAGTGCTGAGAACTCCGACTTAGCTTTGCCAAAATTAAAAAGGGTTGTTCACGAATTTTTCTTGGTGCAGCACTAATAAACTGAAGATAAACTCCTACAAAACAATAGTCATGAATATGACCAAATCTACACAGAATTACCCCTATGAGATTCTCATTGAGGATTCACTGATCTCTTGTAAACCACATAGCACGTATCTTGGTACTATAATTGATTCCAGTTTGTCGTGGCTTCCTCAAACTGAATACGTTATAAGTAAGCTTAACTCATCGTATTATCTGTTATCACGACTGAAACAATTCGATGAAAATTTGCTACTTAAAGTTTACTCTGCGGTTGTGTATCCATATTTAAGCTATAACATTGCATGTTGGGGAGCAAGTACACATACTCACAGAGTATTTATATTACAAAAACGTATAATACGCTTGATGTACAATCTTAATTACGCTCAAACATGTCGGGACACTTTCAAAAATCATAAAATAATGCCACTGTCTTATGTATATATATCTTTAAATTACTTATTTATCTTCATAAAAACCGACACAAATTTAACAAAATATGTCAAATTCACGATCACAACACCAGAGGTAGAAATAAAATCTTGATTCCAAAACACCAACATTCATTTTATAAAAAATCTCCGTTTTACACCGGTTCAGTATTATTTAATAATCTGCCTGAAACCCTAAAAAAAATGAACCACTCCCTTTTCAAAAATAGAACGAAACAGATATTACAAAATAATACACAATATGTGTTACGTAGTCAACAATTTCGCCATCTGTCATCAGTAAATTTGTAAACCTTATGGTTTGGAACTAATATAAGCATTTTTAGAGCGACACCAAAGAGTACCCATAGTACTCTTTGGCGACACATTACACAACACGCCTCCTGGTCATTACCCAACGTACTAACTTTAACTTATCCCGCACAAGGCGCCGTTTCCTCTCATTTCGCCCGAAGCCGCCATTCTCTCTTGTGCCACTATACTGAGCAGTTGCGTTTTCATTTGTTTTATTTAAGATGAGCAGTTCTGAGGATTTGCTTTTATTTTGTATACTCAAATAGGAAGAGGAGGAGAAGACAGTGCATAACTTTTTTCCCATATAAGTACTAAAAGACCAGCAGACATTTTTTCAGTATTTTAGAATGTCTCCGGAAAAGTTTTTGCTCCCAAGGGGAGCCAGCGAATAGAAGGCACCCGCGCTCATGAAAAGTTCCACTCCTACTGCACACTGCGAGCGTGCCGCGCCTACCCAGTGGAACCATGCCATTCCGTATTCTTCCAAGGATTCCGCCAGCGGAACAATTCCACTGTGGCCACAGCTGCGCAGCGCGCCTTCCCATTCATTTACATGCAAGTAGGAACGTTTCTCTGCGAGGAGCGTCGCGGCGCGCTTCCTGTGTGGGATGAACTATAGGCTGTACAAGTGATGGGTTTCTGTTTTTAATACTACTACACTAATAAAGTATTATTATTATTATTAATACAAACAATCCATTTATTTATAAACAAACAAAATCCTGACATGGTCAAATGATTAATGCTTCCAAAATAGAAAGTTATAGTTTCAATGTAGCGCCCTCTTTCTTAATGGTCCAGCATTATTTAAACGATCAACTGCCATCAATGGACAGAAAATCCGCATTCAGTCTCCAATTGTTCTATGAAATCGCCACTTCTGGTTGTTATAAATTCAATGGTCGAAACAAAATTTTTGGGCAAGAAGCTTTGAAATGAAACATTTTAGACCTTCAATTTATTTTTCATTTACACGCCTATGTAAATGTGGTGTGCACAAGGCTGCTTGTTTAATGATATTAAGTGCCCTTCCTAATGCTTACATGGCTAGCACATTCAACGCCTCATTGTCAAGAAGTAACAGGAAAGTAAACACAGTTCATATGCTTTTTTGTGAAAAGTACACATCATTAAATTCCTGATAAAAATAGAAAAAATGCTAAATAATTCTGTATGTAATTAGTGTTAGAACAAAACTAGTTATTTCAAACAGAAATCAATATCAATTCTTATATTAGTACCTAACGGTTCCAATTATTTCATTAAATATTGATGTGGGATTCTAGTTTAAAATGTCATAAAAAATGACCAAAAATAAATTGTTTCTCGCACTATAAATCACTTAAATCCACTGCATCAATTTTTGGTGTCAAAGTCTCTACTTTTTTAGCAGTGCTGATAGCAGCTTTGACGGCACTTGCTGTTTCTAGTTTGGTCCAACTTCCCGGCTCCGCTTTTTTTAATTTAATTTCCACCTTGGTACCGTACATAGACGCCTGGCTTGCACGAACGTCAATTACCTATAACAGAATGTCGTAGTTAATTAGAATAAAGGTTCGATCATCATACATACCCTTTGTAATTCAATGTCTAATGTGAAGCTCGCATTTGACTGCTTTGGAAACACTAAATCGGTAAACAACCTAATCGGATTAATTTGAATGATACTTATGTTTGGGCAGTATTCCTTGGCGTAAATTGAGACGACAATGTGCGAACCTGTTTGATGCCAATCCCACCTGCATTCGATCCCTTTATCGTTGCTCTCCTAAGTTTAGAATTTGACACGGGCTCATACATAAACGAAAACTCACCTCCTCAATCCAGACGTGTTTACCTCTTTCACAGCCGATCTGATTTAAGAATGCATTAAAATCGGTAGTTTTTTTCTGACAGCAAGACCAATATTTTAACCCCTCGTGAAAAATTGGTTGACCCGAATGATACATGCAGGTAGTTTGACTTTGTTCCCCTTCGTACGAAACGGAACATCCCTTGTTCTTACAAGTAGTGCCGATCGGTATACTTTCCGATCTATCACTTATATTAACCGCTTCCTGTTCAACAACGTTGTTTAAAGCTTGCTTTAAAGACTGCGCTATTTCTGGTTTCATTGTCGTCTGAAAGCCGTCAATAAAATTTAACCAAGGAGAAGACTAACAAACCATCGGTGTGTCAATTGGGGGTCTTTTAATTTCAACGGGAACCATCGGTTTGACTTGCACAATCTCCTTTTCCACCTCTTTAACTACAGGTTTTTCTGGCTCGGCCGGTTTAACATTTGAATGGCTCGAATACGAGCAGCCTTTAATGTTCAAAAATTCGGTGAAATCTGTACATTTCTTGTTGCAGCAGGACCATCCCTTGTATGCATCGTGAAAGAAAGGTAAACCGGGATGATGGCGACAGGCGTCTGTAATATAGAATTTTTTTTTAGTTTAAATGTGAATAGGAATACAACACGAACCTTTGGGGTTCTCGAGGGGGTTAAACTTCTGACCGCAACCTCTGTTGTAACACGACAGTAGGGTACTTTCGGTTTCCATATTTTTTGTTTAAAATTGATTATAAAAAGTTTAGAGAAACTATTTTAAGAGGATTTTATGAGAGTGGAAAACCAAATTTGATTTTTCTTTGCAACTGTCAACCCAACATGCGCATGGTAAGTGAACGTGTCTAAATGTTCTGCCAAAATATTTCGGCTGTGGCCAGTGAACCGTGAATTTACAGAATTGTACAGGGCGGAGATACTTTTGGAGGTTTTAGAACAATAGATGATTCATGTTATCATTGTTTAGGTATGTTGTAGGTTATATCCTTGTGTTGCTTTTGTCTGCACTCTAAATTGATAATACGTTTCTTTCAAAAAGAAAGTAATGAATGCCTTCATCTGGTTGTTTGTCCTGCCTTTTTTAGACGACAGGTATACTCTGAGATATGCTTGTTTGTTAAAAAAGCTGTCAAATAGAAAAAGATCCTTAAATTGGTTTTATTTAATGACTGTGTATCCCGGTACAAAGATTCAATGCTCAATGGGGGGCATTATCAAGATACATAGGTTGCTTGATGTGTCTAGTCAATTTTTATTTCTGACACTTCGCACTTTTTATTGTTCTACGTCATTAGTTAATTCTGACCAAATGTTAATAAATTTTAATGTTATTAGTTATTCGTCTTATTCCTGCGTAACCACTAGACGGTAGTACATGAAAATTGTATAAAATTAATTTTCGACTGGTCTATTATCTATTCTAGGCAACGAATAAAGAATACCAGGAAGGAGCATTAATCAAGTTGTATACGAGAGAGAGTGTGCGACGGAAGTCGGCCATTTGCAAAAGCCACTTATGAGTCATTTTTGTTGTGGCTGTTGCAGTGACATAAAAAGAATGGTTAGTTGTTGTGCTTGTGGTTGCTCCAAAACAGAAAAAAATTAAACTTTGGGAATTACATTTCATGTGTAAGTATTGATTACCAATATTATTTTTACATAGTACATGTAAATTTACAAATTTTTTATCGGAATGTAGTTTGAGGTTAGTTAAACAAAAGTCATAGGCGGAGTTGCCACATGGGGGTTTAGATTGTTTTCGTGTAAAATTCTTTATAATTGTATCCTTCTACAACTGTAAGGTAGGTACGCCACTGGAACAGGAAACTACTGTCCGCCATTTGCAAAAGCCATCGCGGTCGCACGTATATTGTTGATATTCTCCTTCCCTGGTATTCTTTATTCATTGATTCTAGGCATGTGCATTTGCAAATACGGATGATACCCCTAGCGGCAATAAAAATAACAGTTGTGATTAAATCGCCGGCCCTGTACGAAAGCTGTTTTAAAGCAATAACCTCTTGTAATGCGTACGCATGTAATCTAGACATGCTTACATATTTTTCATTCTCCCGTTCGAAACTGCTTTGGCCCCACAGTTCCTTTTCCCATTTAAGACGCTAATTCTCCCGATGTTCTGTTTTTAAATTGAAGAGGGTTAAAATGAAAGTCGGAATAGTTTGTGAAAATTCCGTCACATCAGAATGCAAATGACTACGGTATGACTGACTCACCCTATACATTCGATATATGAAGAATTTCGATTTTCGACGAACAAATACGTTTTGAGGTTATGTTATTTTATTTGTAAAATTTGAAAAGTAATAACGGGTATGTATAAATAAATTAATAATGGAAGATCCCTATTATAAATTAATGGAAGAATATTTACTCAATAATTTTAAACAAAATATTCTGGCGATTTTAGAAGACGAAAATGAACAGAAACATTTTCCCCTGAATATTAGGTAAAGTTGTAATTAGACTCTGTATTTTTCATAACAATTTTACAAGCTTTATAGAGCTTTTCGATGTCAGTACATGGTTGGGGGATGAACTCCTTAAAGAACCCGAACAGACTTTAGACACCTTAGATAACATGGTTCTAAATGCGCAAGACATCATATTACAACAATTGGCGAATAATACTAATTTATCATTTAAACATAACATTCACGCTCGAGTATTTGGTCTTCCTGCCTGCCCCGAATTGCATCGCAAGATTTTTCCATACAGTGAAGATCTGGGCTTATTTTTACAAATTAGAGGTATATTAGTTGTCGCTTACTGTCTTGTAGCGTTAGATAACTCAAAAATTCGCAACATCGAGACTATTTGCTTTTAGGAACGGTGATTAAGACAAAAGATCCGAAGATATTAGAATATCATAGGTTGTACAGGTGCACAAAGTGTAAATATGTCGAAACTGTAACGGCTAGTTACGATCAGAAGTTTATAATTGTACCACCGAAGCGTTGCCCAAATCCGGAGCAGTGCGGCGGGCGAAATTTTGTCGGTGTCGGGGGGTTAGTTGCGGAAAATTGTAAAGATTATCAAGAGATAAAAATACAGGTAAATTAAGCAGTTGATGATTTGGAAAAGTAAGTTTTCGTGTAGGAACTATCTTCAAATGTCAACAGCACAATGCCGTCGACTATGTGGGTTACTTTGGAAGATGATCTGGTGGATACCTGTCAACCGGGGGATGATGTGACAATTTGGTAGGGTAACTCATGCGCTAACAAAACTCCTATATACTTACGTAAAGTTAAGTGCAATACAAAGACAATTAAGCTTTTGTTTTGTAGTGCAATTGTGAAACGTAGATTTGGACCTCTAATTGTTGGAAAACGAATTGAGGTGGAATTGTGTTTGAAAGCGAACCACGTGCTTGTACACAATGGCCACACCTTTCCCACACTAATAACTGCAGATGTCACGAATCAGTTTCAATCATTTTGGAAGACGTACGAAAATTCTCCTCTGGTCGGTAGGGATTTAATACTCCAATCGTTCTGTCCTAAGGTTGATTAGTTTCACAGTATTACAGCGGGTATTTTTTACATTTCCTTGCAGCTCTTCGGTATGTACTTGGTAAAGTTATCTGTGGCGGTGGTTTTAGCCACAGGAGGTAGCTCTCAACAGGACGACGTCGGATCTCGAAAGAGGTCCGAGGCTCACTTGCTTTTGGTCGGTGATCCAGGTACGGGAAAATCGCATTTACTTCGTTACGCCTCTAGGATCATTTCTAGATCCGTCTTGACGACAGGCGTGGGAACCACATCGGCCGGTTTAACTGTGGCGGCTGTTATTGTACGTCATCGCATTTGTTTACTACGGCAAAATGAACGTTTGTATTTTAGGAAGATGGTCAGTGGCAGCTTGAAGCGGGTGCGTTGGTTTTGGCGGATGGAGGAATTTGTTGTATTGACGAGTTTAATTCCATGAAACCCAACGATCGGGCTAGCATTCATGAAGCTATGGAACAGCAAACTATTAGTGTAGCAAAAGTGAGTAGTTAGTGTCGTCAAGTTAACAAATTTAAGTATGAGAAGTTGAAGGTTTTTGGGGGAGCTAAATGATGACAAAAAAATATACAGGGTGTTCCATTTAAAAAAGTGATATTTTTTAATATGATGTTTTGCAACTTTGGACCTACAAGAAAAACACCCTGTAAGCTATATTTTTAATCTTTCATAGTAGATGTATTTATTTGACTTTTACTTAACCCAGAATAAGATATAAAACCTAGAATCAAAATTTAAGTAATATTTTTGACAATATATACTGACGCTTGCAAATGCCCAATTTTTCTTAAAAATCGAATTATCTTAAAAAACTACTAGCTTTTCGGATATTAACCATATAATAAAAAAGACGTGCAATTACACGTAGAATTCAAAAATGCATTCAAATACAGGGGGTTCTATTTAAAAAAATGTACCATTTGGGCGCCCTACTTTGTGGGTGCACCCTGTATAATTCCAAACATTTTTAGAATGTGGAGAATATTCAACCATATCATAATACAAAAGCACTCTATCGAAAAATCTTATCTTCAAGGAATTAAGTTACTCCGCATAATCGTTGACTCACCCTGTACATAACTAATGCAAATTTATTGATTTAAATACGTTAAAAACGTCCACGTGATTTCATTTTTCTTTAATTTATGTTGAGCCAACAGATGAGCATTGTGGTTTAGTTTCATACTGGCTCATAACAAAAAAAAAAACGAAAAATGTCAGTTTCGAGAATCGCTGTTCATTTATTTTCAAAGATATCAAAAAATAACTTTAACAAACCCCTAGTGATTTTTTCTAAGCTTTCTGATGGTGCTGATTGGTTTAGTCAGAAATGAGAGTACAGTCTGATACGATTCCTGGTGCTTCAAAACGTGTATTTCCGTAAAAAAAGTGGAGGGGGGACACACGTGGGTGGTAAAAAGGTTAATTTACTGAATTGAAGATATCTTCTTAAACTGGTCGGAATGCAAGAATCGGCCAATCAGCATGAGGTTAAGGAATCTGAGATACATGTGCTGATACGATAAGGAGGGCATATAATCGTTTCCAGATGTGATTTTTACCGCATTAAAAATAAGCCAACAACATATAGGATTCTGTGAAATTTATTTGTGTGCGGGTAGAGAGGATCCAACCTATGGTGTACAAAAATTTCCACGAAACGGAACGATATCGTAATATTTTTTACCAACTATTTCGAATCCTGCCTTCTTATTTGTGTTTGAATTGGTCAAATATAATTTTACATAAAAATAATGTAAGTATTTTAAAGGTAAATATATTCCTCAAACACTGGAAATACATTATTTGAAATTATGAAAAATAAAATTTTGTATGCACCTCGGGCATTACTCGATAGTTAACCCTTGGGCGACCTACAGATCTGCCGCCCTCTGCACACATATAGCTGTAATGCTCTTGATACATAACTATAATATAAAACAAAAGCATAAAAAATAACCATAGACTACTTCATTATTTTGAAAATAGTGGCCCCTTCAAAATTGAAATATTTAAATGGCCGCCATTTTGAAATAGATATTTATCCAAAATAGTACTGAAACCTTCATTTTTTCATGCCTACTTTCTATCAGGAAATTTTATTTTCCATGACAGAGGCAGAGCAGACTTCGTTTCCTGCTGCTTGTCACTTTACTGGCCGCACCTGTCACTTTACCGGCCGCATTTGTGACATTACTAAATGTCTATAAGGACTCCTGTCATAACTGACAGATTGACATTAATCAAACGTTCTAAATGATAATTAAAATTTTATATTAAAATATGATTTCGGGTAAAATTTAATACAAAACTCGTCAGTAAAATGTCATTACCTGACTCGGAAATTAAAGTACTCTGGGGTCTCGTTCTTCAATATTTCCTCGCCAGTAATGTGTCATTTTGCTGACTTATGTAAAAAAAAATGGAAGTCACTGAATATTTTTTGTGCTTTTATCTTGGCATTTTAAACATTATTGTCAAACTTAATCGAAATACGAAAATTTTAAATTTTTTAATGACAAATAGAAAATTCAGCCGCCATCTTGAATTTTGTCTGATTTCCTAGACCGAGTTTAATGGGGATTTTGAAGCTTAAAATGGAAAAAGAATCATTTCTGTTGCAATTTTGCGCAGGTTAAGGGAATATTTACATTATTTTGAGTGTACAGGGTGGCCAACTAAGAATGCGAGGTACTGTATCTGAGAATCTATCCATCGTAGAGGCTTGCGGTAAAAAAATTTATTACTAAAACGGCCACGAGCAAAACCTGGAAAATATTTTTAAGTTTCTGAAATGGCCGCTAGGGGGCGTAACTGCAATCTGGAATCTAAAAAAGTGATGTTTTGTGAATTCCGCTATATTGACCTAACAAAAAAATTTCCGGTCTTGAAGTTGACGATAATCTGAACAATTTTTCCTGTATCTCTAAAAATGAAGTGGTGGGGGGTATTTAAAGGTTTCCGTAAAGAACACCCTGTATCTTCGAAACGGCTGATCCGATTTCAACAAACTAGTTAGTTCAAAAGAGCTATTCTTCAGCTACAAATATTATACTATTTGAAGTTTTGTTAGTTCCACATATTACCGCTTGAGGGCTTTTTTCGACATTCCGACAGAAATGGTTAATTTTCTCAAAAAAATTAAATGCCTTGGTTTGATTTTTTTTCATGAAAAAGTAGCTAAATGATGCCTAAACAAGTTCGCGAAAACAGCATCTCGATATCTTGAGATTGGCCAGCATTTCGAGCATTTACGGCGGCATTAAAAGCTTCCTTTTTTAAATCGATCCACCTTAGGGCCACAAATTATATAATAAAAATAATTCCGGAAAAATTAGCTTAAAAAAATAAAACTTTGAGGTTTTTTAGGTTAGGAACAAGATATCGAGATGCGGTTTTCGCGAGCTTGTTTAGGCATCATTTAGCTACTTTTTCATGAAAAAAAAAATCAAACCAACGCATTTAATTTTTTTGAGAAAATTAACCATTTCTGTCGGAAAGTCGAAAAAAGCCCTCAAGCGGCGATATGTGAAACTAACAAAACTTCAAATATTATAATATTTGTAGCCGAAGGATAACTCTTTTCAATTAACCCGAGTTTGTTAAAATCGGCTCAGTCGTTTCGAAGATACAGGGTGTTCTTTACGGAAACCTTTGAATACCCCCCACCACTTCATTTTTAGAGATACAGGAAAAATTGTCAAACAAAAAAGTTTCAGATTATAGTCAACTTCAAAGACCGGACATTTTTTCCTTAGATTAATATGGCGGAATTCACAGAAAAATCGATTCCAGATTGCAGTTACGCCCCCTAGCGGCCATTGCAGAAACTTAAAAATATTTTCCAGGTTTTTCTCGTGTCCGTTTTAGTAATACATTTTTTTACCGCAAACCTCTACGATGGACAGGTTCCCAGATACAGTACCTCGCATTCTTATTTGACCACCCTGTACAATACTAGTGTCTCCCCTTCAATGTGGGTATGTTTTTGCAATTAAGAACTAAATGTATATGGTTACTGTCTGCTGTGTATTAGGAGTAATTACTGGCAGCAATTTCATAATTGGTAGTTTCGATTTTATCAATTATGCCTAGCAGTTCCACATGGTTCCTAGTCCAAATCAGATGACATCCCAATAAGTCAAAATTGTAGTTAACATTGACAAAAAAAAGTTTGGGTCGATCCAGAGGGTAGGGAGTTATGGACATTATTTAGTACCTGCAAATTGTGGTAAAAAAAAATGACCCCCCAGTTTTTTTTTACGGAAATACACGTTTTGAAGCACCAGGAATCTGAATCAAACACAACCTCGATGATGTCAGTTTGTTCGTACTCTCATTTCCAGCTGAATGGATTGGAACCATATTTGGTACAAGTATTCTTAGAAATAATAATAATAATAATAAAGTCTTTTATTAAATCATGCCACACACACAATTTAACAGGGCGAAGTTCACATGTTGGGCTACTCACGACGAGACAACTCTGCTCGACCTAACTCTGCATAAAAGGGTAAAATCACGCATGCGCAGGTGGTATCTGTGCTAGCCACAGCAAAAATTATCAATTCCTTATTGGTGGTTGTGAGGAAGATTTCCTGTTTGGGCATGACATATTTTTTGTATTGCTTTTATTGCAAACCGAATATGTTTTGAGATGAGATCTGAGTAATGAAAATAGCATTTAACTGGGAGATTTTTATTTAAAAATGGATGTTAGGTCTTTCCTATGATGTCAAAATTCAGGTGGAATTATCATATAGTCCCATCAATGAATTAACTGAGCAACTATTTAATTTTCACTACTTTTCAGGCCGGTATACTGTGTAAGCTGCGAACACGATGTTCAATTTTATCGGCCACCAATCCAAAAGGAGGACACCTCGACGATTCCCAGTCGCTAAGCTTAAACTTAGCCATTCCAAGCCCGTTGCTAAGTCGATTTGATATCGTCTTAATGTTAAAAGACACTTACAGAGAGGAATGGGACCGTGCGATAGCGAAGCACGTTTTAGACGAGAAGTTTACCGACTCGCCGGATTCGGACACTTCATTGTGGAGTATGGAGATGTTGCAGCAATATTTTGTGATGATCAAAACGATTAATCCCGTTTTAACGACAATGTCCGACCAAATTTTAGGTGCATATTATCAGGCTCAAAGAAGACAAGAGACCCGTAATAAATCGAGAACTACAGTACGCCTTTTGGAAAGCTTAATAAGGTATTTTGTATTTTAGTTCAAAGTTCAAGCTCATTGCATTAAGATCTTTGTAGGTTATCCCAAGGGCATGCGAGGTTGATGTACCATTCCGAGGTGCAAGTAATGGACGCTGTATTTGCTATTGTGCTCATCGAGTGCTCCATGCATGGAGAATGTGCGGTGCTGTCTTTGGGACCTTTAAATGTTCTCGAGTCCTACCCAGGCGACCCGATGGGTCGCTATGCTGAAATTGTTAACGTGGTTCTTACACAGTTGGGACTAAATCAGATACTGCAACACGAAATGAATTTCATAAATACAAATTATAAGACGTCAAATTTAAATACACAGCGTGATTCGTGCAATGCCAGAGATGACTCGCCGGAAACTTCCAGCACCTCCAATTGCGAAGTAGATAATGTGCCAGAAAACACTGATTCCGTTCCGAAAGGATCAAAGCGGAAGACTAAGGAGCGCAAGTCTGACTCCAATGGTTTAAATTGTATTCCTAGCGTTATTGATTCGTTCAATTTTAACATAGACGACTGTGATAAAAATTGGAGTGAAGACCCTCACTTTCCTGTCGAAAGCCAAAACACCAAGATCAAAAATATTCAGAAAAAATTCAAGTTTACATCAAAGGCCCTACCTCGATTACCAAAGAATCCTAGCACAGATGCAGCGAGTAGTGAAGCAGAAGAAAAAATTCAAATTTGCGCAACCACAAATAAAGAAGTGATGAATGTTGAGCCAATACCGAAAACTGTCCCAAACACTGATCAAAACAGTGCAAAAGAAGTAGCCGTAACAAAATCTGCCGTAGGATTATTGCAGGCTAGGTTTGGTTTCGAACCACGAAGTGCGCCTGCTGAAAATATACCAGAAACGTCCTCCAAAAGCAATGCGGGCTTTTGCAGTATGTTTGAATCGGATAATACGGAAGATTTCGATTTTTTGAATTTTGATATATGATTTATTTAAATACTGGTGCCTTACTTTAAAATAAGTTCAAAATACATTAACAGTTCATTCGTTTATTTTTTTTGCTTAGGTAAAAATCGATCAAGAACATTTGCTGGCTTCGATTTTTCCTTTTGCTCGTTTTTGCTTTCGTTGAGCAATTCGGCTTTAAAACTTTTGGCAGCTTTTACAAATTCCTAAAACGAAGTTTTAAAAAAATGACCGCCGAGAAACCACCGAGGATTACCTTTTTCGCCTGCTCCTGTAATATCTTCTTGTTTCTTGCTATCTTGACCGATCCGCCTTTTCCTTTCGCTTTTCTCCGTGGATCGTAATTTATCTTTGGCGGTTTCACAAACTAAAAATATCAATAGTGATTGGTTCCCGGACGATGACAACCTACCAATAGCTTTTTAGTAGCTTCGACTTTCTCACGTAAGCTCGGAACATCCACTTCGGATATTTTCGTAGGATCTAAAGATATCAAGTCGGATGGAATCTAGAAACGTGTGCGAATTAAAACATCAATCTGAAAACGAAGAGCTTCACCTTTTCCAATAAAGCCTTGACTTCGGATTCTTTTCGTTGGGATTTTGTTTGGTATGGATTCGCTTCGAAAGCGTCAAAGTTCGCTTCGCCTGCTCCCGGTACCAGTATGCTTGTAAATCCGTGACTTGAACCGACACCCAGCACATCCTCGTAAGGACAGAAATTCAGGTTTGCAATTGAATTATTAAACCTATGTCTTAAGTAACCCTTTTTTGCGGTTGTAACACAGCAATCGCTAAAATGACAATGGGTAGTATCATGTGATAGTAGTGTTTTGTTTCATTATTTAAGACTTGTCACGAAAGTTTATAAAAAATAGATTACGAATTATTTGTGGCAAGCTTGGTAGTATGACCTTACAGTATGGCCGCGGTACAGCAAAAAGTGCGGTGCTTAAAAAGCTACATACTTAGATGGCACTGCAAATATTAATTTAGTGTAAACCATATGCAGTGTCAATAATCACCTACAGATGTCTCTGAAAGCAGTTCATTTTCTTTTGTGACAATTTATCCTACAAATCGAAGATGTAGACATTCATTGCATACCCTTACTTACTTACTTGATATATAAATAGCTATTATGGGGACTCGCTTTGTTTATTTGTGCCTCGCTCGCAAGCTCGCTCGGCTAAATAAACGGCTCGTCCATAAAGACTTGATATATAAATAGCTATTAATTGACTGTTCAGTACACTGACGTTGGTAATATACTTCTTAAATTCCCTCAAAACTAATATCCCCCTCATGTTATGCATGTTTGGGAGTGATAAAGAAATTTCTTCATTAGCCATTTTTTTTTAAATGACAACATTTTTCAACGTCTCTTTAAAGCCCTCCAAACTACAGATCAAAATATTGAACCATTTCAGTAGTCGAGTGTTATTGGTTCCTTTATTTATATCAGATAATAACAAATTTTTTCAGTTTCCAAAAAAAAGGTTAAATGTTTGCAACACTAGAAAGAGAAAACATGACGCTTTTCAATAATGTATCGCATGACCCATGTTGTAATTTAAAAAAATTCAAGATGGCGGCCGCTCTCAAAATTGGGTAATGAAGAAATTTCAATTAACATATACAGGGTGTCCACGGATTGAGTACATATAACAAATTTGTTTAGAGGTGGATCTGAGTATCGCTCCTGCTTAGTCTCAAACTAAGATATTGAAAAAATGAGCCAAATCAATTAATATACAGGGTGTTATTTTGCCGAATTCTAAAAATTAGTCAAGAGTAAACTGTCTTAAAAAGAAAGTTGTTTGTAATTAAAAGTTATTAGTTTTAATTTCCATACAAATCAGCCTGCTTGGGTTTTGTTACTTTTGTTAATACATTTTTGTAATAATCGTTAAAATAAAAACCGTTTACTCTTGACTAACTTTTAGAGTTCGGCAAAAAACACCCTGTATATTGACGTTATTTGATTTGTCTTTTTAGCCAACCGCAACAGAGATCAAACTTTTCTTTTTGTGCAAGTTCAGATTCTCGATATACCTACATTATCAATGTGCATTTATAACTGTTGTTGATTTCCTGTTACTGTTAGGTGTTATGAGGCTGTTCCGAAAAGGACACTAACAAAAATGAAAAAAAAGTATGATGTCCTATGTCTACTATTACATGATAAAGTCTCCTGAAAGACGCCTGATTTTATGCAACCAAAGTAACTAAATACAACCAAATGAGGATCTGCTTGTCATATTAATTAATTTGAATATTATCGCTTTGACTTCCGTATTCTAATTTCGGTTCGTGTGCGATGTATTCAACTAACGAAAAGGTTGCTATTTCCAATTGGTATAGTGCCGATAACAGTTAAAGGAGCTTAAGAGATTTATTTTCTGTGAAACCAAAGCAACATTATTCCAATTAATAATTCATATGACAGATCTTTGTTTCAAGAAGTTATTTTGGTTGCATAAAATTAGGCGTCTTTCAGGAGACTTTTTATCATTTGAAAGCAGTTGGTTTTAAAATTGCTAGACCATACTGTAAGATGTCTATGCAATGGTATGACTATTAACTTAAATCTCAACCTGTGGTGCAAGTATGATAAATTAGCGATACAGTCATGAGCAATGATTTCCCATTATTTAAACAGTATAAGTACCGATAAACTTCAAGTATGTTTCCCATACCAACGGCGAGCATTTGCTTTTGTGAGAAAGCAACATTGTTCGCTGTGGATTTCAAGTTGTAAATTTGTAGAGGCCCCGTCAAACTTCTTATGTCCCAAATTTTTAGTGTGCGATCATTTCCAGCCGTGGCCATATACCTATAGACAAATGAGAGGTTTAAGGTACTTTTAGTGCATTCAACATACAGTCCTTTGGGGTCTATGTGTAAAGCAGAAATGGCACTTTTATGACAAAGCATTTTTGCTAACGGATCTCTGCTGTTTGGTGCCCACATGCTGACAACTCCTTTAGAACTTCCCACACATATTGCTGCATTGTACGGATTCTGCGTCATCATGTTTATTCTTCCGAGCTTGGCGTTGTATTGAACCACAATCTCTCCAATCGACACATCCAACCAACTCAAAAAGCCAGTATCATTCTAAAATGTAATGACCACAATTTTTGGCAACGATCATAATTATATCTTACAGCAGTAGCCAAAAGGAAATGATAAGGTAAGAACTGCATTTGCGTAACCTTATCTAAGCTCTTTAAACAATGCAGCTCGATTCCTTGATTGTCGTAAATGTACACCCAATCCTTTTGCGCTACGGCCAACATCGTTTCGATATGCAACCAACACACATCGTGCACGGACTCCATCACGTTTATCTCAAAATGTAACTTCTTCGTAACCCAATCAAATGCCGCGACGTGTCCCAATCGTCCACCTAAAGCCAAATGTCGCCCATTTCGAGTGTAACTCGCACGGTAAGGCCCAAAATCACGCAGTTGTAACTCAAAAAACTTCGTCGCCGCGGTTATATCCACATTTTGGACAATTTCATTTTGCCTAAACTGTGTCGTGGTCTCTCCGGGATCTGCTTCTAAAATACTATCGCACGTTATCGCAAAGAAAATGGTTAGTTAACTCACCCGTCCTCCTCCGTCAGTAATATTTCCACACGAGCCGCTTGCTTCTGTGCGAATTCGTACGATAAGTCCTTGTCAAATTGTCTTTTCTTGTGTATTTTCGTTCGTATTCCATCTTTCTGTATACCTTCTCCTCGACTGTGCTTTTCGAGCAATTCCTCTGGGATTGGCGCTCGACCTGGGAATTTTGGGTTTGGGTTTGGTTTTCGTTTTAAAATGATATCCGTCTTCTTCGGTTTTCCTTTTGGAAACGCTGGTTTCTTATTTTTCAGCCGTCCCACATTGCCTTTCCTTTTTTGTGAGGTTTTCTCCTCTGCATTGGGTTTTTGCTCCTCCGATGGTGCAGTAAAATATCTTGCGGTCTACAAAACAAAGTAAATATGATAAAGAATAATTTAGTAATATTACTTTGGTCATTTTTATTTTAATTAAGTTTATTTCATGAAAAAAATGTTAGGTTATTCGCTATGAGGTTATGTTTACAAAATTTCGAGGCACGTGTTTGATTACAATCCCATTTAATAAAATTCCCATTTATTAAATACTTCACTGCTTCAAACGTACAGTGTGCTTACAAAATACGAACTTCGTAATACCATTGGTTATAAAATGCATAATCAATGGAAATGCTTTAAAGGTATTGTGTATTTGTTGTAGAATACACCCTACATAACTTAAAGGAAATAGTTGCCATCTCTTTGGTAACCCTTTCTATGCATTATGTTACGATTACCGTGAAACAAAATTTAAAAAAAAACCATGTATTGTGCAGGATAATCTCGTGTAATTGGTAAAGGCATATATACAAAATAAAATATCAAATTATGCAAAGTAAAGATACACTTGTATACTTTGTTTAATAAATGGGAAAATAGGCATGTGGGTTTTTGAATTTTTGGGAAATATATTATAACCTAAAAATTTCTGAATTGGAAAACAATCAGGAGAAAAGAATCGTCACATATAAAAAGAATGCCTTTAACTGCAAAACACTTGCTAATAACAGGCCCGCCAGGTTAACACATTTTTGTTTGGCAATTTTTTGAACCGTTTGTACAGGTATAGGAAAAACCACCCTCATACAAAAGATACACGTAAAGTTAAAGGAACGGGGAATTCCTGTAATTGGCTTTTATACTGAAGAACTACGAAATCAATTCAAGAGGCGTGAAGGTTTCGATGTGGTGACTTTAGATGGAAAACGCGGGAGGTTGGCCAGAACATCGTAAGTCTGTGGGATAATTTTCCCGAGTTTAAATGATCACCTTTAAGAGAGCGTGTGCTAGCCGACGATCCTCGAACGTGCAGAGTCGGACAGTATTATGTTTTTCCCGATGAGTTTGAAAATTTGGTTCTTCCAATGTTCAAAGATGTAACACTCGGAGTGGCTTAAATTACACATTTGTTTACTCTTTTGAGTTTAAAGGTGAAGGAGACGGTGTTGGTGATTGATGAGATTGGAAAAATGGAGTTATTTAGTAAGAAATTTGCGCAAGAGGTTCGAAATGTATTTCAAAGGACAGATTTATGTATTTTAGCGACTGTTCCTATTAAAAGTGGAGGATTGCCACTTATTGAATTCTTAACTTCGAATAACAAAGTTCTCACAGTAAGTAGGGACTCGCTGAACACTTTTTGTTAATGCACTAATTCTTCTACAGGTTTCTCAAGATAATCGCAATACATTATTGAATGAGATATGTGATGTTCTGGAGCAGTCTATGGTTTCATAGATTTTTAGTATTACCAATATTTAATGTAATATACTTATTATAAAATTGAAATAAACAAGTAAATATTATATGATATAAATAAGCAATGATTTTTGTCTTGCTTGCAAGCACAATGAAACTAATTATTGACGCCAATCCTATAGTCGCATACCCCTCTAGTTTAATTAATTGTTCAGGTCGTTTTTCAACAAAATAACAGAGCCCTCTTTGCACTAAATTCGGGCTAACTAAAAACGTCTGAAATCTACGAAAAAATTGAGTAATTAGATGGACTGCGAAAAAACTGATTAGGGCGATGAGGCTCACATACGACTAATGTGTCTGAATAAACCAAAATTTAAGTTTTAAGGTTTCCCAGTTTTCTCAAGCTGCTATTCTCTTTAAGACCAGGCTGTAAACTAGCTCTCGTTAAGTTTTTTCAGGGAGTGTGGCAATTGGCAAAGAAACTAGACTAACTTTGGGGGGGTTACAGCCCGGTGTACATTATAAAGCCCATTCCAAAAGACAATCCAATTTGTATACCAATCTCTTTTCCTTAGCATTCCCGTTCTACTAACTTGAAAATTTTCTGACCGAAACCAATTTCGAGAAAAACTCAATGAGCTGTAACTTTTGAACTAGTAGCCCAATCTTCAAACTGTTTGAAATTATGGATTCTACACGCCAAATTCTATACGGGCCTGTAGAATCCATAATTTCAAACAGTTCGAAGATTGGGCTACTAGTTCAAAAGTTACAGCCCTTTGAATTTTCTTTCGAAATTGGTTTCTAGTCTATAATTTTTGATTGAGAAGTCTGATCGAAAAAGTACGAATTGTTTTGGATTCTACGCACCAAAATTAATAAGAAAAAGTGTTTTCCCGAGAAATTTTAGTGTAGTCGATTTTTGGTAAAAAAGGAAGGTTATACACTGCCTTTTTTTGAGCCACGAAGAAAAAATTGTCTCAGATCGGTTGGGAAAAAAAATTTTCTTATAGAATGTGCCCTGTAGAATCCATAATTTCAAACAGTTCGAAGATTGGGGTACTAGTTCAAAAGTTACAGCCCTTTGAATTTGCTTTCGAAATTGGTTTCTAGTCTATAACTTTTGATTGAGAAGTCTAATCGAAAAAGTACGAATTCTTTTGTCTACGCCCCAAAATGAATAAGGATATGTGTTTTCCCGAGAAATTTTGGTGTAGTCGATTTTTGGTAAAAAAGGAAGGTTTATACACTGCCTTTTTTTGAGCCACGAAGAAAAAATTGTATCAGATCGACCGGGAAAAAAATTTTCTAATAGAATGTGCCCTGTAGAATCCATAATTTCAAACAGTTCGAAGATTGGGCTACTAGTTCAAGAGTTACAGCCCTTTGAATTTTCTTTCGAAATTGGTTTCTAGTCTATAGCTTTTGATTGAGATGTCTAATCGAAAAAGTACGAATTGTTTTGGATTCTACGCCCCAAAATTAATAAGATAAAGTGTTTTCCCGAGAAATTTTGGTGTAGTCGATTTTTGGTAAAAAAAGGAAGATTATACACTGCCTTTTTAAGGGCCATGAAGAAAAAATTGTCTCAGATCGGTTGGGAAAAAAATTTTCTTATAGAATGTGCCCTGTAGAATCCATAATTTCAAACAGTTCGAAGATTGGGCTACTAGTTCAAAAGTTACAGCTCTTAGAATTTTCTTTGTAAATTGGTTTCTAGTCTATAGCTTTTGATTGAGATGTCTAATCGAAAAAGTACGAATTGTTTTGGATTCTACGCCCCAAAATTAATAAGATAAAGTGTTTTCCCGAGAAATTTTGGTGTAGTCGATTTTTGGTAAAAAAAGGAAGATTATACACTGCCTTTTTAAGGGCCATGAAGAAAAAATTGTCTCAGATCGGTTGGGAAAAAAATTTTCTTATAGAATGTGCCCTGTAGAATCCATAATTTCAAACAGTTCGAAGATTGGGCTACTAGTTCAAAAGTTACAGCTCTTAGAATTTTCTTTGTAAATTGGTTTCTAGTCTATAGCTTTTGATTGAGATGTCTAATCGAAAAAGTACGAATTGTTTTGGATTCTACGCCTCAAAATTAATAAGAAAAAGTGTTTTCCCGAGAAATTTTGGTGTAGTCGATTTTTGGTAAAAAAGGAAGGTTATACTCTGCCTTTTTTTGAGCCACGAAGAAAAAATTGTCTCAGATCGGTTGGGAAAAAAAATTTTCTTATAGAATGTGCCCTGTAGAATCCATAATTTCAAACAGTTCGAAGATTGGGCTACTAGTTCAAAAGTTACAGCCCTTTGAATTTTCTTTCGAAATTGGTTTCTAGTCTATAACTTTTGATTGAGAAGTCTGATCGAAAAAGTACGAATTGTTTTGGATTCTACGCACCAAAATTAATAAGAAAAAGTGTTTTCCCGAGAAATTTTGGTGCAGTCGATTTTTGGTAAAAAAGAAGGTTATAGACTGCCTTTTTTTGAGCCCCGAAAAAAAAATTGTCTCAGATTGACCCGGAAAAAAATTGCCTTATAGAATGTGGCCTGTAGAATCCATAATTTCGAACAGTTCCAAGATTGGGCTACTAGTTCAAAAGTTACAGCCCTTTGAATTTTCTTTCGAAATTGGTTTCTAGTCTATAACTTTTGATTGAGAAGTCTGATCGAAAAAGTACGAATTCTTTTGGATTCTACGCGCCAAAATTAATAAGAAAAAGTGTTTTTCCGAGAAACTTTGGTGCAGTAGATTTTTGGTAAAAAATGAAGGTTATAACACTGCCTTTTTTTGAGCCCCGAAATGAAAATTGTCTCAGATCGACCCGGAAAAAAATTTTCTTATAGAATGTGGCCTGTAGAATCCATAATTTCAAACAGTTCCAAGATTGGGGTACTAGTTCAAAAGTTACAGCCCTTTGAATTTTTTTTCGAAATTGGTTTCTAGTCTATAACTTTTGATTGAGAAGTCAAATCGAAAAAGTACGAATTGTTTTGGATTCTACGCACCAAAATTAATAAGAAAAAGTGTTTTCCCGAGAAATTTTGGTGCAGTCGATTTTTGGTAAAAAAGGAAGGTTATACACTGCCGGGAGAGAAGTTCGTCTTTCATGGCGAGCGGACGTGTTTTGAGCGAGCTCCGGCCTTTTTTAGTGGTTTTTTGTGTTTGTATAGGTTTAAAAATGTATGTCGGTAGCGTACAAAATTTGCAATTGTTTAGTGCTTATTTCATCGAAATCGGTCCAGTGGTTGAGATTTTACGAATTTTTACAGTTTTAAGTTTAATCTCAAGATTCATAACGCGCGAGACTAATTAAATCGTGAGAAGACAGGGCAGGAACCTCCAATCAACAGGACAAACAAGAACGTAAAGCTAAGATAAGTGCTTACTTGCTTACTTACTCACTTACTTAGAATTAAGGCTAAATTTAATTTAAAAGTGAACAAAGGGGAAAAGATAGAATAAAGCGGCGCAAGTCACTGGCAGCTACATTGAATATACCTACTTCGAATCGGGGTGGAACAAATTGACCCTTGGGAAAGGAAATATAAACTTGTCAACCGGAGACATAAAGAAACTAAGCCATAAATTACAATATTTAAGCTCTCAAATTTCGGTCTAATAGGCATGATTGACAAAAAAGGAAACCTTTCTTACCAAATTTCAGCGGCTTTTTTTTCCTGTTTTTTGCGCTTTTTACTTTCGTTAGTACCTTTAGTTTAGAGTCTCCCAGACACAATAGAATATACGGGGCGGTCAAAGATAGAATGAAGGGGCACGTCTCGGTGACTTAACAATTAAATTAACTAAATTATCTCTCCTAGGTATCTCTTTTAGCGATCAATAAACAGCACCCACCACCCAAACCAGGATTAAGACCTTAAAGACAAGTACTCGTAACAGCGATCAAATAGAAGTGCGATCAAAAGAATACATCCTAGAATGCATCAGTATAAATAAGGATGGGGACTGCCTGTTTGGAGCGATTGCGCACCAACTGAGGCGACTGCCAGTGACATCAGAGCCTCATAGGAAATTAACCAAATGATTAAAAAAGAAATCAACGCATACATCAGGGAAAACCTGGAAAATTTCTACCCACAATTGATAGGAGACGTAGACGGATACGTGGAGGGAAGAAGGAGAGAACCAGCAGGGTTGCGGAAATCGTAATCAAGAAGCACCGATGCATTGAGGTGGAGAAATTTGAAGGAAAAGTAAGAGTATGTCCATGGCCCAAATCAAGATGAAAATAAGAAGACTAACAATCATAGGATGCCACATCCCCTCGGACAAAAGAGCGCAGGCGGAACTCAGAAATCGAAGTGAAACAAAAAAAAAAGTGCGAAAAGAACCGGGGTATCATACTAGGCGACTTCAATGCACAACTAGGCAGACTGGACGGAAGTGAATAGGAGGAAGGGAACGGCAGCGACCTTTACGAACATGGTACACCTACATGGACTGAGGGTAGAAAACATATTCGGCAAGTCCAAAATGGTTACATGTAATCAAAGGAAATCAGCGTCACGAACACAGCAGACATTATGGGCAAAAACAGTAGGATCGGACCACAAAATGGTAAAGGGGAAAGTAAAGAGGGGGGAGGGGAAGAAGAGAACAGGAAGGAAAGGACAAGGAGCACAACGGGGAAACCGAAGGGTGGAATGTGAAACTTCTGTCAGGGGAGAAGAAAAGAAAGGAGTACCGAAAGCAGTGGTAAAAGATTAGAAGCAAAAAGGGGATGGGATACCATATGGAAAAATATCGGCGAAACGATCAAAGAAGCAACAAGGAAAACACTAGGGAAACAGAAACCGCCCATGTGACCGAACAGAAAGCGGGCCAAAACCCACACTAACCTGAAACAAAGAAGAAGCTAAGGGAAACCAAGGAAGAAGAAAACAGAGCCTATGAGCAACACGAAATCAAGGAATTCGCCGAGTTCGCGGAGAACATCACCAAACTCAGACCAATGGAGAGGAATACGGAAATGTAATGGTATAGGCACATCAGAAAATATAAACGGAGGAAACAAGGGGGAAACAGAAAGTATATACCAATGACAGCGTGGGCGATGCTGGGACTACCCAAATTCCTAATCAACAGAACCATACACGGGTGGCAAAGGGAGTATACTAGTATACAATGGTTTTGGAAGAAAACCGAACACCAAAAGAAAACCAGGGGGATCAAACAAGGATGTCCGTTTCCCCAAGGCTCTTCGCGATAGCACTTGACCACGCTATAGAACAAACAAGGATGGTGGTGAGGAACCTTAGCATAGGCGACCAATTACAACTACCGACATTACTGGCGTACGCGGACGATCTACTCGTAATCGCGGATAATTTATAAGACACTGAGGACTTCGTCCAGGCCATCGGGATACCAGGTACACTCGGAAATGGTGGACCTACAAATATACAACGAAAAGAGCTACATGATGACAAGAGTGCCAGGAAACAACACCCCCAGTACAAAGAAGGAGAGAAGACCATAGCCGGGAAGGAGATAACCATGAAGCACAAGATCAAATATATGGGTACGTATGTACATAAGCAGCACCCTCAGCAGGCACAACGCAGTGAAAGACAGAATAACCAACGCATTCAGAATCACACACGGAATCTGGAACTTCATACGAGCGAAGAAAATACCGGACAGCTTGAAATGATGATTTACAACACGATCG